GAGGGGGAAGTGGATGTATCAAGGAGCTTAAAACTAGTCACATGCAGATATTTGCTGCACTTGAATGAAAACAGTTTAATCGACACGCTCTTCCACAAGACGGCCTCCCTGTCTGCTGTGTAACTCTCCTTCTCAGCACTCACCACTGTTGGTCATGCCAAACTTTCACTTACGCGTTTCTCTCTTCCCCACTAGATTGAAGGGTTTGGGGTGTTCATACATCACACTATCTCTGCTTGTACAACACCGAGAATAATACTTGTCTGATCACTTAAGGTATGGATGCACTCCGGTGAGATGCAAACTTGACCTTGAGACACTAGGTCCAAACATGTGCATCAATGTTGGATGGCAGGGCTGGGGATCGGGGGAGGAAGGCCAGTTAAGACAACTGCCTAAATGTTTCACCTGGGACTGGTTCTGGAGTTCTGTTTTCATATGATGATAATTTAGAGAACATGCTAATACAATGACAGGAGCCCTGGTGGCACAGAGGCTTAAGTGCTTAGCTGCTAATTAAAAAGGTTGTTGGTTCAAATCCACCAGTCCCTCCACTGGAGGAAGATCTGATAGTCTTCTTCTGTAAAAATTACAGCCTTGGAAACGAGGTGGGGCAGCCCTCCTCTGTCCTGTAGGGTCCCAGAGGGGTGGGACCACCACTCCTGTGTGCTTGCTTGTGCTTTTTGGGGGATGCTGGAAGCTGTGGCATTGATATTCCAAATACCAGCAGGGACCCTATGGTGACCAGGCTTCAGTGGAGCTTTCAGACCATGACAGAAGAGGCAGCCACGGAAAATAGCCACGGAAAACGTTGCGAATCTCAGTGGGATCACTGTCTAATAGAGTGTCTGTAGATGCGCTTGGAAGGCACTCAGCTTGGCCTGGGGAAGAGCTGTATCCTCAAACTAGAGTTCACCTTAATGGGATCAATGGAACAAAGCTTTTGAGACATTCATTTGTTGACTCACAATGAGCAGAAACAGCTGCAAACATCTAATTATTGGATCCTAGAATATATGCCGTCTGAGTCTGGGAAGATGGGAACTTGTAAATATGAGATGGAAGCATAAAGATAGCTCTTTGGGGCCTTGGTGAGTTCAGATGGACGTGCACTGGCCAATTGGAGTCAGACCATGGTCTGACTGGCCAATTGGAGTCAGGACTGGACTCACACTACACTCATTGTCAAAAAGGGCATTTTAAGTTCTGTCTTGACGTGCAACACAGCCAATGGTAGGATAATATCTGTTCACCTTCAAGGAAGATAAGTTAATGTGACTATGGAAACTACCCACTAAAAACTAGTTCCAAAGATG